GATTTGAAGCTAGCCCAGGGAAACATTCACAATATTGGATCTCAATCAATATCTGAACCCAATGCATTGTGCTTTATATTTTATCTACTCAGAAAAGGTAAAAAGAAGGATAGTGGACCATGCTGGCCAGGTCATAAACAGAAAACCCTGCCATAAAAATGGATAAAGCAGGGTTGGGAAGGTGGCTCAGTGGTAGAGCGCTTGCCTTGCATGCATGAAGCCCTGTGTTCCATTCCTCAGCATCACATAAGCAGAATAAAAAAATACTGGAAGTGGAACTTTGGCTCAAGTGTTAGAGTGCTATACTTGAGCTGAAGAGCTGAGGGACAGTGTCCAGGCCCAGAGTTGAGTCCCCCCCCCAAAAAAAAATATGGCTAAAGCAGAGCTGGGTGCAGGTGGCTCATGCCTGTAATCTTAGCTACTCAGGAGGTTGAGATCTGAAGATGAGAGTTCAATGCCAGTCTAGGCAGAAAAGTCTGTGAGACTCTTATTTCCATTAAACCACCAGAAAATCAGAAGTGGCACTGTGGCTCAAACAGTAAATCACTTGCCATGAGCTGAAGAGTGCAATGACAGTCTCCAGGCCCAGAGTTCAAGCCACATGACCAACAAATCAAAAGTGACTAAAGCAAAAAGAGCAGGCGTGTGGCTCATTTTTAGACGACCTACCTTAAGTGCATGAATCCTTTAACTTAACTGCTAGTATAGAAAGGAGGAAAGGATATGAAGAAAAGAAGTAAGGGAGGAATTATGATATAATCAAATACTAGAATGGTAAGTATTAAATAAAGGCATTACAAGTATTTTATATGAAAATATACTGATTGTTTACTAAAAGGAAAATTATAAAATGTGGAATTCAGGCTGAAATACATGTACAATTTTTGTTTTTTTGTAAAATGATACTTATGTGCCCCTTTAGTTTAAAAGTAGAAATAAGTTTAAAACAATATGAGTGGTTAGAACTGAATCATTATTTCTTATCACTTTTTCTGCTATATTCACCACTTACAACATCGAAACAATGTTGATCACTTTAATTATTAATTCATTAATGTAATCTTTCATCTTTAGTATATAGTCTATTGTGCACATCATTTAAATGTTTGAACTATTTTTGTTTGTTTGTTTTTATCCATCATGGATCTTAAACTCTGGCCTGGGCATTGTCCCTTAGCTCTTCACCTCAAGGCTAGCAGCTACCACTTGAGGAACAATGCCACTTCTGGCTTTTTCTGCTTATGTGGTACTGAGTAATTGAACCCAAAGGTTCAACATGCAAGGCAAGCACTCTAGCACTGAGCCAACATCCCAGCCCTGATTTCTATTTTTCTTTCAGACATGGGACTTGAACACAGGGCATGGGTATGGTCCCAGAACTCCTTTGCTCAATGCTAGTACTCTACCCTACCAGTTTAAACCACAGTGTCATTTCTTGTTTTTTAGTGGTTAATTGGAAATAGCAGTCTCATGGGAACTTTTCTGCCCAGGTTGTCTTTTAACCACCATATTCATTTCTCAGCCTCCTGAAAAGGTAGGATTACAGGCATGAGCCACCTGAACCCAACTGCTCATTTTTTTAAAAAAATGTTATATGTTTAGTTCCCCCTCAAATACATACGAAGTGAGATGCAAATTAACTTTAGATACACCACCAATTGAAGATGTTGAGATTACAAGTGATTGCAAATTTTTTACATTTTTTTATATGTGGGGCTTGAACTCAGGGCCTGAGGGCAGTCCCTGTTCTTTTGTGCTCAAGGATATCACTCTACCAGTTTGAGCCAGTGCCCCTTCTGGTTTCTTGCTAACCAGATTATGAGATAATGGTCTCACAGACTTTCTTACCCAGGTTGTCTTTAAAACTCAATTATCATATCTCAGCCTCCTGTGGTGCTACAATTACAGGCATGAACCACTGGCACCAGCTTTTTTAAAAAGGGACAACAATTCATAAGTCAGAAGCCTTGACTCATGCCTCTAATACTACCTACTCCAGAGGCTGCGATCTGAAGATGATGATTTGAATCTAGCGGTGCAAAAACGTCTCTGTGAATCTTTTATCTCCCATAAACTGTTCAAGAAGATCCCGAAGTGAAGCTTTGGCTCAAGTGGTAGAGTGTACTCTTGAATAAAAAAGAAGCTCAGGGATAGCACCTAGATCCTGCGATCAAACTCCATTTCTTACACACACACACACACACACACACACACACACACACAAACCAAAAAGTAAATAGAAAATATGAAGAAATCAATGAAAAATTTGAATATTGTAAGGACTTTTGGGATTAGAGGTATGACTCAGTTGGTAGGACAATAGATATTGATTGAAACTATCAGATACCAAGGACATAAAAAAAGAATTATCTGCTCTGTATTTTCCTATTCTCATATGTTCTCATTCGGGAACCCTCTTCTTTAAAAAAAAATTGTTTTAGCGGTGATATAGAGCAGGGTTACCTTTCTGTTCCCACAATCTCTTCCATACCCTCCCTCCCATCTTGACCCTCGACTTGCATGGTTCACTTTCATCAATGTCCAGTACAGCCAGAGGGCTCTGGTGCTGCATTTTTTGCACCCACTTCCCACTAATTCTGTGCCCTTCCCCCATCTTCCCTGTATATTAGGTGAAGAATACAGATTCATCAGAAAATGAAAAGACAAATTAAGAAAAGTTCCTTTGTTTCCTTATCATTGCAATTCAATTCTCTCTCTCTCTCTCTCTTTCTCTCTCTCTCTCTGTATATATATATATATATATATATATATATATAGTATTATATAGAAAAGTGCTTGGGTATTACAACTTTGTGATTTTCTCCAAATGCTTCCTCTTCTGTTCTTACTGTAAATGATGCCTAGAGTCCTGTACAGTATGTCATATCCCATTGTGTTTTAAACCTTTCTTCCACATATCAGGGGAACAGGTACCATTTCTCAATTTGATGTTCTCTTAACTTTCTTAACATGATTTATTCTAGTGTCTCCATTTCCCTGCAAATGACATTATTTTATCCTTTCTAATGGCTCTGTAAAATTTCATTGTATATAGATGGCATAATTATTGGTTCCATTCATTTATTGTGGGGCATCCGGGTTGTGTACATTTCTTGTCACTGTGAATTGAGCAGCAAGGAACATGGTTGTACAAATGTCCTTGCCATTTTCTAATTTCTCCACTTCCCCACCAACATTTGTTGTCTAATTCAAGGTATTTGGATAAGATGGTAACTCAGGATTACTTTGATTTATATTTTCTTTATGGCCAGGGATGATGAACCTTTTCCTGATATGTTTCTTACCTTTTCTTATGAGAAGTCTCTCCTTAGCTCCTCTGCCCATTTGGTGATTGGTTTATTAGTTTGCGGAGGAGTTGTTCCTTGAGATCCATGTATACATTGAAAATTAGCCCTTTGTCTGATGTATTGCAGGTAAATATCTTTTCCTAATTTGTTGGCTGTCTTTTTAATTTAGTGGCTATGTCTCTAGCTTGTGTAGGTTTTTTCTTTGGTGTAGTCCAATTTGTTGGGTCTCTTTCCTATCTATTATGCCCCTGGGATTCTATTCAGGAAGTTCCTGCCAGTACCTATAAGTTCTTTTTTTAATTATTATTTTAATGGTAAAAACTTTATTTACTTTTATAAATCCATCGCAAGACAAAACTTTTCAAAAAATACTTTCCCCCCCAAAAAATTAAAAAAATAAAGGAAAGCTCGTAATAAGTAGGCAGACTGTCTTGAGGACTCTTTTTGTTCTTAAGGAGAGCTCTCTGCAGTGTAGGACAGGACAATCGCCACACACCCAACGCTGCCATGGGTTTGGCCTTGGGGAGAGAAAAGCCCAGCCTGGACTGAGTGTCCTCTCCTGGTCACGGCCATAGTGACACCTTCCAGTATCTAACACTGCCTAGGATTATCTAGTATGGATCCTATTATAGTTGGGCTATGCTGTATACAATGTTAACTATTGAGAACATATAACTCTCTCTGCATACATGTGTGAATTGTAAAGTATAAGTTAGACTCCAAGTTCAACAAACACAAGTTATTCTCTATGTGCTCCCAGTGTCCTTATGAGGCTTCTCAACAAGCTGTTCATCTTTCCTGTTTAGATAACATTAAACACCATTGTTTTGTTAGGTCAAGAATAAAGATGAGGGGTGAAAATAAACCTTTGCCTTTAAATAGTTTATTATCCTCAACCCCAAACTAGGAGCTAAATTAGAAAACATTTTGTTGTTGTTGTTGTTGTCTCCAGAGCGATTACTCCATTACTGGTGAAGTGTGGGGTATACTCCCAGCCTCCTCTATGCCCTGCTGGACCACAGCCAAGGCCACCCTGGGCCTTCCACTGGGCTCCATCCTTGAAAAGCTGCCTAATGGAGGGAAGTCAGAAAGATCTGCATTTACAAGTTTCCCAAAATGTGCTAGAACTTTTTTGGTCAGTTTTATAGAACTTTCTTGGTCAGTTATATTCCACCTCAATGTCTCCAGTATTTTCCAAGCAGATCAAGTCACTTGCAGATAATGAAGAAGCTTTGTGGCCCAGGGGTCCATGCCTTGGAATCAGATACTTCCAGGAGGGCCAGGGGTCTCATGTATGGTAGAGATGTCCTGTCCAGGTGACTGGAGTTTCTGACTTTCCTGTTCTCCATGAGGCCTGAGCAGGGCGGAGGGCAAAGAGGTGTCTTCTACAATAGCCACTGAAGTGAGGGAGGCAGAAGGTCAGCTGTTCCAATGGGCAGATGTGGAGAGGATTCTAGAAGGGGATCAAATCCGATGCTTTGGGCAGGAGTATCAGTTATTTTTACAGAAAGCAACAGAGAAATTAATTTTCTTTTCTGACTACTGAAAAGTGGAAAGATGCTCAAGTTTACCATTTAAAGGAACAATAAACATTTCAAAAATCTGTCTAAACTTTGGTTTTCTTAAAAAAACACACACACACAAAACCAAGTCATCACAAAAAGAAATATAAGTTGAGGCTATAGGCAGGTGCTGTTCTGTCCGTGGCAGTCTTTTGTGCAAAGTAAGGCGTATTGGAGCTCCAATTTAACTGATGCAGTGGGGTTTACTGCCTCTGCATGCAGAGGCAGTGCACGTCATCGGTGCCCTTGCTCTTGAAGCCTGAGAGGGGCTGACCATACTTGTCCACGCACCAGCAGAAGTCCTGCTTTCTGCCTTTGGAGTGGCTACACTGCTTCTTCTTATAAAATCCTTTCTTGTCCCAGTTGGGGATGTGCACACCCCTGGGACTCAGCACATTGAGAAACTTCAGGTGATTCAGGGTGTCTTCCATCTCTCTAAGGCAGGGACCATATTCTGTGTCCCGTTTGGACTCCGAGGAGAAGGTCTTGGTGTCCATGTTCTGGGACTCATAGTCAACTTTATAGCGCTGGTTGTCCTTCGCGTGACCTTTCTTGATGGTGTCCAGCTTTGCGTGAATGGAATGGAACTTGGAGTCAGGCACCCTATGTGTGCAGGGCAGGGCATGGCTCTCCACGCTCCCTGTGCCTCGGTCCTTCTCTGACTCACTAGTATTTCCTGAGGCGGAGGGCACCAGCAGCAGGTAAGCCTCAGCTGGCCGGGATGCTGGCATTGGGGGAGAACCCGCAGCCGTCCAGTAGCACCTGCAGTGGGCACGGCTTGCCCAGTGGCAGCTGGCAGCTGAGCCCCTAGCTGCAGCTGCAGCGTTCGGTGTAGACACCGCATGGCTGGCCCTTGCGCAGAGCACATGTCAGGCAGCAGGCATAGCCTGGCTCGGGCACCAGATCGGCACACCCCTGCACTGAGCCAGCGCGTTGGCATCACAGGGCTCTCAGCGTAAGATGGGACCCTCGTCACCGGCGGCCTGAGGAACAGAGCCAGGGGGGTGAGCAGAGCTGCCCAGAGTGCGGGGCGCCGCTCGATGCATGACGCCTGTGGCAGGGGCCAACTGGAGTAAGCGGTTACTGGGTCTAGGCAGGCAGTGTGAGATTGCAGGATCTGGAGCGCAACTACTGGTGCTCGGCGTGCAGCTGCCCAGCTCGCACCTCAATACCTATAAGTTCTAATATCACCCTTTTTCTGTGTTATAGTAGTTTGGCTGATTTTAATATAGTTAATCTATTTTGAGTTGATGTTAGTGCAAGCAGAGATCCACTTCTAGTTTTCTGCCTGTGGATGTCCAGTTTTCCCAACACCAATAGTTGAAGAGGCTATGATGTGTGTGTGTGTGTGTGTGTGCGTGTGTGTGTGTGTGTGTGTGTCTGTGTGTCTCTGTGTGTCTGTGTGTCTGTGTGTCTGTGTGTCTGTGTGTGTTGGTCGTGGGGCTTGAACTCTGGGCCTCGGAGCTACCCCTTTGCATTTCATCTCCAGGCTAGTACTTGAACCACAGTTCACTTCCCATTTTCTTGAGGTTTATTGGAGCTAAGAGTCTCATGGACTTCCCTGGCCCTGCTGGCTTTCAACAACCATCCTCAGATCTCAGCCTTCTGAGTAGCTAGATTAAAGGCATGAGCCACAGGCACCCAGCAAGGCTATGTTTTTTCCACATTACATCTTTCGCTTTTTTGTCGAATATCAGATGATTGTAAGTATGTAGTTTTATTTCTGGGTCTTTTCATCTTTTCTAATACGTTTTTTATTGTAAAAATAATGTACAAAGAATTACAGTTACATAAAGTAGGTAATGAGTTCATTTCCTCTCAAGCATTGTTACTTCCTCCTTTGTTTTTCCCCTACCATCCCTACCCTTCAACCTCCACAACTACTCCTTTCCATCCCACCTCCCCACTCCCTGCATAAATTGTAAAGTACGTTTTTGAACATAGTGTCTTGATCTCATTGTTCAAATGGGTCAAACTGTATCCCTAGTTAAGCATTTGTTTTTTCCCTTCTCCCCCCAAAGCTAGAGAAATGTATATACAAGATACAGGGCATCGACATCAAAAAAAAAAAAAAAAACACACACACAACATAGGTTACAAGATTGGGTCGAAGAATGATGATTGTTGACTTAGTTTGATAAGTATTCTATAGCTTTTAATGGTAAGCCTTATTAACTCAAAGGGGGAGCAAAATCATTCAGAATAGTGGAATGTGGCTACCACTCATTTGATGTGTGTGGATAGATTATGATTAATCAAAGTATATCTATTAATTCCCAGTGGTAGACTGCTATGCTAACTGGGAGGAGACTTTGTTAATGCCAGGCATTTTAATACTGGTAATGAAGCAGAATATGAGGGGAGAGCATTTGCTAAGGATGTAACTTCCTAGGCTCATACTAAATACATTGAAGTAGAATGCTAAGTGCTGATCGACTGAGCACCAAATTTTATTTGTTGACTTATTTGTTTTGTGAAGTCCAGGGATTTGAACCTAGAGCCTGGGTGCTGTCCCTTAATTTTTTTTATCAAGGCTAGTGCTCTACCAGTTGAACACAGCTTCATGTCCATAATTTTGGTGTTTAATTGGAGATCAGTCTTTCCAAATTTCCTCTTTGGGCTTGCTTCAAACCTGATCCTCAGGTATCAGCCTCCCGAGTAGCTAGCATTCCAGTTGTGAGCCACCAGATTCTGGCTAGAATCACATTTTAAAAGTATATAGGTGAATCAGATGTGTCTAGGTACTATTTGAGCACTTTGGTTCCAGTGGGTCATGTCAGATTTAGAATAACATCAGAATTTTTCTCCTTGTAACTCGCAGCATCCAATATCTGATCTTCATGTCTGATCTTTTTTTCTTCATTGTACCTTTTTTTTCTTACTTCACAAGCAAGCACGTCAGTGATGTTTTCCTTTTCTGAAGCAAGTTACGTCCTTTCCCATCACTGAGGGATGTAGTTGCTGCTCTTAGTGCCTGGAGTACCTGCTTCTAGTTAATTGCATGGATGATGGCTCTCAGGTTAACTATCTCCTCCTCAGGGATATCTCCTCACATACCCGCTGTGAAATTGTTGCCACAAAACTACCAATGTCATGTCTCTGATTTACAAAAATTATCATTATGATTTCTGGTTTTCTTTTCAGCATGAAATTGATGAGGAGAGAGCCACATTCACTTGTTTCTCCAACACCTATAATAGTGCCTGGTCCTTAGTGCTCAGTAGCCTTGCATGGGGATCAGCCTTCTCCAGCTCAATTTATCCTAGATTCTGGTCAGGACAGCTCTTGAAGCTGATATCTGGTGGCTAGCAGTCATTCCCTCTCATTCTTTGTGCCTTTCTGTGTTGTTGAATCCACTTCAGAGAAAGATCAGTGCCTGACACCTATTTGCTGTTATGGAAAGATGGCTATGACACCATACAAGTTATGGGCATTGTTTTGTGAGGCTGTGTGCGGAGATGCATCCCCACACAAGTTCTCAAAGGCAAGTGTCTCCCATGCCCAGGAGTGCATTCCACAACTCAGCATCCAAACTATCACCTACTCCCTAATGCACTCAGTGTATATTCCCATTTCCTTTAAAAAAAGAAAAATCAAGATATGCCTTTCATGATTTGTCATTGAATTATTGAAACAAAGTATATAATTTGGGGGCTGGAAAGGTGGCTCAGTGGTAGAGTGCTTGCCTTGCATGCATGAGGCTCTGGGTTCGATTCCTCAGAACCACATAAGCAAAAAGAAAGTAAGCTAGAAGTGGCCCTGTAGCTCAAGTGGTAGAGCACTAGCCTTGAGCTGAAGAGTTGAGGGATAGCACTCAGGCCCAGAGTTCAAGCTGACAACTGGGCATCCCCAAAAAGTATATAATTTTATGTATTTGTAAGTCTTTGTCCATCTCTCTTGAGCCCTTGACATATTTCTATGTGTTTGCAGCTTGGGAAGGGAAATAAGGTTTAATTCAGGATAGTCAAAAACATTTTGGGAGGGAATGCCAACTTTCCATCTGATGTTCTACAGATGTCCATCTTGGCACAGGAACTGAGTAGACTGTCATAGCATAAGAGGCTTGTCCTGACTTCTACTGACTTTCCTCTGGGGTCACAGAGTGTGATCCAACTGCATACGTGTCGCTTGGCTACACTCGAGGGACCAGGTCTCCTCTGAAAATCTAATGGCATGGGAGTAAGAGAAACTAAAACTCAGAACTCAGCTTCCCACATCACTAGGATTACAGGCCTGAGTCTCATATACTAACTCATAACCGCCTTTTTATACATCGTGTAGCCTGTTTCATTATATTCACCTCATAGACAGATATACAAATATATGTTTATATTTATTCATCTATTTATAATCAGTGTTACATCTAGAAACACAAAAATATGTATTCATATAATTATAATCAAAGTTATATTACCGCTTTCCCCAATAATGTTTTACACTAATATTATGTGAAAAAAAATACTTAAGATTGAAAAAGTTAAAAGCCCTTGTAGTATGAAAAATCATATTCGATCTTATATATCATATAATATACTATATAAAATGTAATGAATATAACATGTATTTCCATATAACTGATTTAATTGCTTCCTGATTTTGTTTGTCCATCTATGTAAACCTTCTTTCTTCTATTGATGATGGCTTATACTTTCCAGTGTCGATATTTCTTATGTATTTTGTCAAATATATTCAGCCCTAAGTAGAATTTTTATGTTAATGGAGCCAATTTTTTCTTCAATATTTCCCAAAGCACAATGAATATGTATACAGACTTGAGCTCACTGTTGGAAGAAAGTCCCACATACCAGTATAAGTATTGTAGCATATGTCCCAATTGACAGAACAGCTTTCTAGGTCATCTGATCTGGTATGTCCTAGATCTGTTGTAGCCACCTTATCACCACATGCAGGCATGGCCTGGCTTCCTTGCAACTCCCTGTGCATTTAACCATTCCCTTTATATCCAGTAGGCTCTCTTGTTCATCCCCCTGTCACTCTGTTTTCCCACACACAAAACACATGTGCATGGTGCTTTACATTGTAGGTTGAAAAATAAACACATTTAAGGCTCATGAATTGTATAACATAACATAAACACTGACATTTTAATAACGTTAGAAAATAACTAGAATGATCATTTTACAACAATCAGGACCAAAAAGAAATATAAAAATTTTCTAAATAAGGGGGGAAGCAATCTCTAAATCTGGATTGTCTTCTAAGTTGCCTTCAGACACAAATTCTGCCTCAGAGTCCTCAAAATGATCTACTTCCTCATTAAAGGCAGTATTTTCTTCCTGAGTCTAGGGAGGGACAGATCTTATTTCTCAACTGGAAATTGGATCCCCAGCAGAAGGACAGATTGGTCTGGATATTCTGTCAGAACAGATTCCCTTTCCTCAACTGAATCTAGACTTTGGACCTAACTTATTGGTTTTCCTGAACATAGACTGGGGTCATTTTCCATTAGCACATATTTACCCTGCACTGCAAGACCAAAACATTTTTTACTGGTTTGGATGTGATCTAGGTGAATTGTGAACATCAATGGAAGACATTCTGGATCATCTTCTTCCTTGGTGGTATGTGCAGGTACACCTACATAATATGTGGAGTTCAGAACCAGTGGGATGTCCACAGGACTCAAAACCTAGTTGGGTCTTTCTACACATTGAAAAAAGCCTCTATGTTCACATGCTTTCTGGAGTCCAGTGTTGGCTTCCAATCTCCA